GAAAGCATGTTATAAACAGCGCAGAGGGGGACCGCAAATCTTGTCATTGACACAACAGTCAGAGTGAGCTTGTGGCCGCATGCGTGTGTGTGTGCCTGCCAGCTTCCAGTCTAGCGCTATTGTCTAACAAGGTCTAATTAGCACTATGGCAAAATGAATTAGCATAATTATGCAAACAGGGCTGCACTAAAGGCCTGGCACAAGAGAAGGCTACGGGGGGCACCTATTACAACACACACATCCACACACTTTAAATGTGCGTATAAACACACATACACGTATTCAGTAAAAAGACACAACTATGGCGTATAGTAAACAGTCATAAACTGCTAAAAAAAAAAAAAAAAAAAACTACACATGCACATCCCTGCCTAGAATTACAACAAATACATGGAATTGATTTAATATCGATGTTATTGTTTCCACTTCTTTACAAATACATCCACCTGACAGAAACAGTCCCCATACCTCCACAAACATGAGATACACACAGAAAATGATCAGCTCCCCACCACGCTGCCTCACAACACTCAAGCAGTCAGGGCTTATAGTATTTACCAGCGGGAGTGATAGGTGAAGTCGGTGGGAGATAATAGGGATGACTGAGAGGCTGAAAGGCTGGTAGCCATTCGCACGATGACAGCTGTAGTGAAGAAGGCTCTATTAGGCTTCATTAGGATGCTGGGCTCCTGATTGCACACACACATACACACGCACACACACACATGGCCAGGCTTTCATCACTTCACAGGACATTTGGGTGCGTTCACTTCCAGCAGATGTTTCTAATCGTGGCGACTGCCACCCTTATATTACCCTGAACTTCAATCAAAAGTGCTGATTTATATGCAATCCGTCATCCAACAAGAAAGAAAAATGTATGTCTTCTTACATACTCATCACTGGGAACGATGTATGAAGTGATCACCGGTTTGCAAAGCTAACATTTTAACAGTATTAGCTTTTTTAAAAATTTCTCACATTTCTGTATGTTGGAAATGACAGAGAAATTTTATGAAATACAGAAATGAAATACATACATTTCATTGGCAATACATGCCTGTATTATCAATTACATATGTATTTCCAGTAGTTGTCCCTATTGTTGTGTGCAACATGGAAGAGGGAGGTCAACGTTAAAATGGAAAGTACTACCAACAGTGTCCAAAAGAGAATGTACAGAGAATGTCAGAAATACAATATAAAGATTTGGTAAAAAATAAATAAATAAATAACAGCCACAAGGGTTTAAAATACAAAATAAATGATTAAATATAGTCACAGCAAAAACCTATTTTGTTTTTTACAACGAGTAAATGTTTGCTCAACGTTTGGTCAACGTCCATTCTTGGACACTGAACATTTAACTTTCAGGCCATGTTCATCTGAACATCATCTGAACATTCGCTTGCTAGCTGGGTCAGGGGGGAAGCCGGAGCACCTGGTGGGAAACCACACATGCACAGGGGACAAACTGCAGACAAAGTGCTGATGCATCCCTTCTTTTTAAACATTCATCTATTTTTGAAAGAGGAATTTAGAATAATCAGATAAACTCATTTTTGTGATTGTGTACCCAGCTAGCAAGGAACATTATCTATATATGTATGTGTATATTTTTTAAACTTTTAAATATCTGTATCCAACAGTGTTCAGTGTCTTATAAAGGAGCATTCTGTATATGATGATACCACTGCTACTGTATGAATACCATGACGAATCTGTACACATTAATCAGGACACAAAACCTTTACACTGCCACATCCCTAATGGGAACAAATGCTACCAAACCTGACAAATAACCTTACAGCCTATAAAGCCCTCTAATCAAAAACCCCTAGCAACGTCAACAAGCTCTAAGCCCTCTCAATCACACATGCACACATTCTGCCATGCATTCTTCGTCACTCCACCCTCAAGGGGCCCTGTATTGTATCCTTAAATCCTGACCCTTGGCAGGGAACAAGCATCTCCCCGAAAAAACCCAAATGGCGCTTGTTACAAAGCAGACTAGCGATTACAAGACTCCACCGTCGGCTAAAGAGACCGGGAGGGTCAGGAGTTCAGAGTTCAAATAGTTGAAAGTGCTGAAGTCTAGTCTGACAGAGGTTTAGTCATTTATTAGCAAGACATAATGAGCTACAAATGTAACTTGCAGCCGAACAAACTGTGCGTAAGTTGGAGGGAGGGGAGGGGTTATATATGTGAGTAAACACAGATGACCTGGCTGTGACACACACCTATGTTACCCCTACAAATAGTCTAAGATTTCCTGGATTACGACTTAGTTTGTTAGAAAAAACAGATACAGCCAATATTTACCATGAGGTTTCATTTACTCAAACTATTTGCAGAAAGCGCATTACCTTCGTCATACCAAAACAAAGTTGTTGTTTTCTTTTTTTTTATTACAACTTGTGATGCTCACACAAGCCTGTCATTTGGATTTACTCAGGACTATGATGCCGACCTCGAGATCAATTCCCCATTTCCTAAAATCCTAATTGAGCTGCCTCGCCCGCTCCTCCTCTGGTCTGGTGTTGAAACCATTGACTCCGGCTTATCTTTACTTTCAAGAAACAACATATTGTTCACGTACGTGCACACTTGTATAACAAACACAATAGCTGGAAAGAGGTTGTGGGGTCAGAGGGTTGCCACGCTAAGAGGGGGGTGGGTGGGCACTTTTAAGCTGAATCCACACATTTTGGATACGGTGGGTTAATCCGGCCAGGCTTTTTAGCCTGCTATTCAGGAGGACAAGGACCCCAAGGATTTGGGCTTGTCCACACCTCAGGGGTAGGGGGATTACCAAGACAGCAGGAAAGGTGGAGAGAGTATAAGGTCGGGTGACGTGAAGGTGGGCTTATTAGCATGGAAGTAGTAGATTATTGCAGGTGGTGTGCCTTCTTGTATATCTGTGATAGGACAAATGTAAGTCAACGTGTGCACTTTTAAATTTTGAAGGGCTTCTCTCCAACCCCCACCCCCAAAAATATACCCCAGAGCTCCGATAGGGTCACCTCTGGGCCTTTCAGAGCCTCCTCTCAACCAACCCTAATTGATCTCACGCATTACTAGTCCCAAACATGAGATGGAGAACAGGAGGGAGATGGCTGCCCCATTGTTTGAGGAGCAAGGTCCCTCTGCTAAAGGCTTCACACTCCTTACACACACACACACACACACACGCAAACACACACAGACACACGTTCCACCTATGGCATGCCCACCCACCTTCTCCCCCTATTCTCCTCACCCTTCCTCTATGCTCTCATCTCCGGCTGTGCTAATCCATTGGCCAAGTCAGGAACTCTGTTACCCATCTGGCCAAGCATGACTCCAGCTGAGAGGGATGGAGGGAAAAATGAGGGTAGCGATGGGGAGGGATTGTAAATTGAGAAACAGGAATGTGAATGGGAGGGGGTGCAGTCATCAAGATGTTTAGTTTGAAACTGAGAAAGTCGTTTTTAGTATGTATTACTTTGCATATATTAACAGCAGAAAGCAATATAAAGCACAATGAATGGGATAAAGGGCACTAAGGTGGCACACAATAAAAAAAAAACAATAATCTTTTGCTTTTTACTCTTAAAAACCAAGATTTTGTGAGAAAAAAAATTTGTCAATTACCCAAGAGTTCTGACAGCTAGGACAGGCTACATCCCTGGCAACTCTAAACTAAACTAGAAACTACAGAAAATGAGCAATTGTTCAATAAGATAGACACCAACCCAAAGGTTCACACATTTTTCATTGCTTTGTTTCACAGTGTTGCATTTCCCAGAGACTAACACCAACAGGAAGCTTCATAATACCATCTTTAAAGGCTAAACCAACCGCGGCTTTTAATGGAACAAGATAACAAAACACAGTGGATGTACAGTTTAACAACTGAGATGCTAAGAAAATACAATAAAAATAAAATTAAGTGATGACAATAAAAAAAATATAAAATGGCAATCTGATACGAACAAATGAACTGAAACCATTGGAACACTTTGTAAAGCGTTTTAAAATAAGAACATCTTAAGAATGATTACAAATTAAGAAAGAACTCACCTTTAATTTAAGAATTTGGTCAATGGTGGAAAAAAAATCCATGTTAAAAAATATAATTCTCTGAAATCAAACAGAATTTATTATCTTCCTATGACAATTTGCTGGTTTGAACACAATGAATGAAGGATTTTTGGCCAATCCCGTTTGCATAATCTCTCTAGATTATCCTCAGTTCAAGGTCCTTATGATGTTTTCTCTTCAGCTCACCCTGCCAGGTTCCAGTGACTTTAAAAGGGAAACAGGCCCACAGCATCACAGACCCTCCACTGTGCTTCATAGTGGAAATTAGATGCTTTTTCCTTGTTCATACTTTGTTTTTTGCCAAATCTACCCAGCCTATTTGTGGTCAAAAAAAGCTTAATCTTAATCTCATTTGACCAGAGTTCACAGTCGAAGGTCATTAGAAATTAGCACATTCCAAAACTCTAGTTGTTTATGTTTTTGATGGTAGAAAAAAAAAATGCATACTGTTGACTCCTCCTCTCACACAACCTGCTTTCCTGTCTGACCACTATCAAATAAAGGCCACTAGAGCCAGAAAAAATAGAAGAGACAGCACTTCCTTTGAGGTAAGAGTTAGATATTGTATGTGTATTTAAAGTTTTTGAGGTTTGGTACAAGTATCACATGTTTTTTTCCATTTAGTCTTACGTTTCGTTTTTCATCTAAAGAATCTGGAATTGGGTGTACTTTCTGTTTAACAAGTTGGCAGTAACACATTCAGAACAAATAAGTACCGACACTTTGACCAGCACACGATTCAGTCAGGATTATCAGCAGGCATGCGTTAATAGTAACAAAAGCAAAAGGCATAGCGGGTAACATTTTTTTGTGCATTTGTGCTCTGCACAAATGCACAAAATGGGATTTTTTTTGTGTTTTTTGTGCATGCAAAACAAACACAGTGGCTTAATAGGGTTGCAAAAAAATCTACTTACAGACATTGCCAGTGTTGTCAAAACTATTGAGTACTTCATTAACTTTGAGAGGTCCCAGGTTATCCCTAGAAATCCAAACACAGATAAACATGAAATAGTCTGCTCAGTACTCTATATTTTTTTTCCGTACATGTACAGCTCTGTGAAAAAACAATTCCCTTACAAATATCTTGTTTTGAATTTTTTTTTTTTGTTTCACATGTTTCGGATAATAATATTTGGGATATTTTGTGGTAAACCAAACAATTTTGAGTAACTTTTGAAACAAGTACAGAACTTAGTACTATCATATAAAGTTTGGTTGGCCACACCTAACAACATATTATAAATTGTAAAAACAGCAAAGCAAAGCTCTTGGTCTTAAACATAAGACCAGGAAAGTGTTTGTTACTGGTTACGGTAACGTTGATGTTTTTTGTGAAATCTTAAAATGGTGTGTTCACCTGAGGAAGGCACCGTATTCAGGATAGTAGACACTTCTGTACTCCACCCACTGGTCATCTGAGGTATCACAGTGTTCTTGTGCGGAGAGTTTTTTCCTTCTGAAAAGGTCAAAGGTGGCAAACCTACGAACAGACACGTGTTTGACCTCAGGACTGTCTGTCTGCTTCTGACGCAACACCTGTAAGAGAAATACAGCTGATCAACTTCAGTTTGCACATGAAAACACATTTTTGTTTGTTTTTTCTTTGCTATAGCTTCTTAATAACTCTTGTCTCAACCTGCTTATAGGATCCGTCATGTCTAAATGATCTTCTAATATTCCATGCATCTACTTTTTGGCTTTTGACTCAAATATAGCTTAACATCTTAACTATTTCCTTTTTCTACATTATTTACATTGAATCTAATTGTTTTACTAATGTCCTGTGTGGGGTTTTTTTTTAACTACCATCACAGATTTTATTGTTGCTGTGCTGCACTTTGAGGACCATATTTATTGTAAAGAACTATTAAGATGATATTCACAAAGCTGACATTATCTGATAAGCAGAGGGCATGTCAAATCAAACTGAAAGATTATCAGTTTAGACTCATTTTTAGGTTACAACAGACAGGACTCATGGATGTTTTCCATCTGCTTGAATTAAATCAGAGTTGCAGGTAATTTTTTTTTTTCTTATAAATTCAGCATTTTAAACAATAAGCATTACTTTATCCATAATAACATTTATAATGTACCTCTGGGCAAATCTCACAAGAAGTGGATGAATAACTTTAAATTCGAGTCCCATAAGTTGCCAATAAATGAGGCCAAATCAGCTTCTTTAAATATTTTGAACGGGGAACCAAAGTTTGATTCATTTAGTTTAGGTGACTGATCAGCTCTACAATGCAATGGTTAGACCAAAGGCTACTGATGTGTTAGGAGAGGCCCAGTCACTCTGCCCGTTCAATAAATCATTGATATAGAGGAATTAATTGAAAAGGCATGCCACACTGTTTGAATTTTTGAAATTTTGCATAATTTTCCTTCGAAAGTATGCAAACCCATACAATGTAGTATGTTGTAACATGTAAAAAAAATGTTTACTGAATGTGAAAACGTTTGATGTCAGTTGTAATAGCACATAAGCGGAGCAGAAGAAGGTCGTTATTCTAATTTATGAACTTTTATTTTTACGATACTCATCTATAGACAACCAATTCACTTCAGCACAAACGTATCCAAACCCCTGCTTTCTGTAGGTATTGTAAAAACACAGTGTTTGCAGTTGAAAATGTGCTTTTGTTTCTATTTAAATTCAAATTTGTTCTTGTACCTGTCTCAGCAGAGTCCATCTCGCTCGACCTGCAGTAGCACCACAGGTTGCTTCCCTGGAGTTGTGGGAATTTGGGCCGCAAGAGTCCTCATCACTCTTATCCTTACAAGGCAAAGCCGACTGGGTCTTTTCTGTAGCGCCTGTGGAGCCTTTCTCCATCTTAACTGTTGAATACCCACTCGGATATATATGTAAACAAGTTCCGGGCTATAGAGCTGTCACAGTTATCAATGTCAATGCTGTCGAACGGTATTTAGAAAAGCATGGCTTATTTCAAAACTTCAAAATCTACAAAAGCTCACAGACACGTCTTGACTCATACCACCTGGAACATGCTGCTTCCGTACACATTTGTCATTTTAGGCAGACTAATCAATAACTGAAAACATCGCACTCGATTTTCAATTGAAACTGTTTGCAGCACGTGAGCAAGCTCGATTGTTTTAGTCTGTCTTTTTCTGGCTGCGTCACCATGTCAGCTCTAGTCTGACAACGTTCTGTCGCTAACTTATAACGAATGTCAATGCACAACATAATTGTAAATATTAACGCTTTAAATGCGCATATCCTTTCTTTTCAGCCTTAGAATATCAAATGCAGCTCTCTGGTTGTAATAGTGAGCGAATTAACTGAACGTAAACACTGCAATGGCTAATTAATAGTTCAGTTTTGGATATGAGAGTTTTACGTTCACTGTTGTGCTCCTCTGCTCCGCTACTCGGTGTTTTTCGTGTTCGTTTCTGGGACCCTAGGGTTTCTAAACGGAAAGCATGGTTGTCCTTATCCGTCCAGCGTTGGTGCACTTCGGTAAGAATGTTCAGGGAACTTTAAAGTTCATGTTCACTGTTGGCTTGGTGTAAAGTTACCGAGTGCTCCATCATTCGGTTGTTCGAAGTCATTCATTATTCAAAGTGGTACCTCTTTACCAAGTTGTTAAAACGAGTACTAAACCGAACAACAGAAGGCTTGGGGCTGAAAGTGACAGCCCTTTTGGAGGTTACAGCTCCTTGCTAAAATGCTCACGCTTAAATTTTGCTTTCACGTGTTGTCATATAATGTGACAACGTTTAGCTGTGTAGGCTACAATATAAGAAAGCTGTCTTGTTTGCAGTTCGCCAGAACCCACGAATTGGTCAAAATTGTCATGCAAAACTATGGTGACCCTGAACTCACCATCTCCATAAAAAAAAAATCTGGTGGTGGTGGCTGCATCATGCTTTGGGTCTGGCTTTAATTCACCAGGAACAGGAGCCAGAAACGGTTTACGTTTTGGCCTACATTCACAATGCTTTGTGTGATAGAAATCTAACACCGCTTTAACCATCTCCACAGAGAACCATCATAGACTAGAATGCAGTGGACTGCTTAAGAAGGATGCTTTACTCCTTGAAATCCCAAGAAATTGTATTGAAGTTTGTTGTTGTTATAGTAAAATCAGAAAAAGCACAAGGATTTAGGACTACTTTAAAGTATGTGAGAATTAAAACATGATTTCATGCTGCTCAGCTCCAGCCTAATGCATTTTAATAGATTATCACATTCACGTTGTTTGTTGAAATAAGTATGTCCTTATTGGTTGTGCTTTTTTTATATATTCAGCAACATTAAAATAAATGAAAAAAATAAGAATTTTTATTTAGTGATTTTTCAAGTGTGTCTCTATATCTTTTGTGATGAAAAGAAGATGTAATTAAGTCAAGGAATGCCTTTAGGTTATTAAAAGTGTAATGTCGCTCCATCATTGTTAAGTGTTTATGTTTGGTTTGAATTCTTCAGGAAGCTTCTGGGTTGTCATCCGATCATCTGAGCTCTGGATCTGACAAGTACCAGCAATTAAAGAAGCATTTTGTAAGGAGACTGAAGGCAACATACCACAGGTTCCACAGTATACCTGATTACTCCGTGGTAAGACAAGGTTCGGGGTTGTAATCATGTTGTGGTTTACATTGTAATGTTTGGGTGTTTAAACTGTTTCTGCATGGGGTTTCTCTCTGGATACTCCACCTTTCTCAAGTCGCCTAATCTGGATGTCAATAACTTTATAAATGAATAAAACTCCTTTTTACTCTGTCAACTTCCTGTGGTTTTTCCCGTTACAGGTGTGCGGGTGTCACCATGTGTACTTCATCAAAGCTGACGGCATCTACAGAATAGACAAAAGAGATTGTAAGCAGTGAATGAACATATATTTTCATTGGCATAGAAATTGCATTTACATTTATTCTTCCTCGTCCTTCGTATTTTTAGGTACTCCAGAGCCTGAGCAGGTGTTAAATCTGGAACATGCATCGAGGGCTGAAAGGAGGACGAGAGCTGAGAGTGAAGGGAGGGTTCAGTGGACAATTCAGAGAATTCGTCTGTCTCCACATGAAAAGCATCTCGCCGCTACACTGAAATGTTGTCACACAGAAGAGCTCAAGTAAATTAAACATGGAGGTGTGACTTATTCCAAAATGTTGACTGCCACACTGTGATTACTTCATATTTTTTTACTGTGATAATCAAGGTGTGTTGTTGTGAGACTTGGAGAGAGAAATACTTCCATTTTGCCCCCCCACTACATCCTTCTGGAGCTACAGAGCGTCTTCAGCTTTGGTAAATATTCGAAAATGTTTTAGAATAATTCAGCCGTGCCAAAGATTACAGAGTTAAAACAAAATATACGTAATATGCGGTTGTAGTAAAAAAAAATAAATGCATCCCTTTTATAGCTAAGAATTGGATGTGTTTTCTGTTTTTAATTAATCTTTCCTATTTTACCATTCTGCCTTTATCTTTTTACTTATGTCTTAGAAACTGGTGGAATCTGTAACATGTGGCTTTGTAAATTTAACGTCAGATTTAAAGGACAGAACAAGTTACCAGTCGGATCGTTTTAAGCACCAAAAACCTAAAATGAGTCGATGTAGAGATGCAGTTTTGCATTGATCTTGACTTTTATGTTTACGTACATCTGTGAAGAGTGGGCGACGGATGATGTCCTGTTTTACACAACTCTGGAAGGCCTGAGCTCCAGCTCCGTGTTTCGCCTGGACCTCGCCTCCGAAGGCAGCGGCAAAGTGACGTCAGTGTACGAGGAAACTCAGCCTGAGTACGTGTTAGTGTAGCGTCAGGTGAACCGTCTTCCTTCTGTCAAATAATCAACCAAGTAACCTAAACCGTACCGTCCTCCCCGCAGTGTGTTTGTGGAGGTCGCCCTGTCCAGAGACCGACAGATCCTCACCATTAACTGCAACAGTAGAACAAGTTCAGAGGTGATGCTGATTGATGTGACAAAGTCCCGTTTAGAGCCTTTTGTGATTCGGCCTCGTCAGCTGGACCTCCTCTACCATGTGGAGCACTGGAAAGGATCGCTCCTTATACTGGCTAATACTGGGCCAGGACAGGAGTACCAGGTAGAGTTTCAACAGCAGCTTATCAAAATGAATCCAAGAGAAAAAACTGAATATTTACAGTAATGCAAATTTATGTGAGACTTAATGCCCAATTATTACAGCTGATTCCTCATTTTGGGCTTTTAGTTCCACTTAGATCAATATGTAAATTGGGTTTGTAGTTCTGGCTTAGGTGCCAAAGTGTCGGCACATGGCATTTTTTAAAATTTTGTGTAGCTAAAATTTCCATAATCTGTACTGCCTTAAGGTCTAATAGTTACACATGTCAAATGATGAATTGATTTAAGGTATTCCAAATGTTTTGTGCTTTTAACCACTGTTGGTTGAAGCAGGGGAATTTAGTGTCATGCTTTCTAGCCATGTGTCATTTTCCTCCCATTTCTCTATTTTGTTCTACAAAATCCTAATAAAGTACACTGAAAGTGGTTAAAATGTGGGTATGAATACCTTCGAGACACTGTATGCTATCAGCAGCTACCTTTGATTTCTCATAAAGTATTAGGTTACTTCAAGCAACAAACATGTAGATATCTGTTATTCTTGTTTCACGTAATGTGTGTCTTCTTCCTGCTTACTAGGTGATGCAATCTCCCACATCTGAGCCGTCAACGGCTTCGTGGGCGTCTTTATTTGTCCCTAAACCTGACTCTGCAATCAAAGACATGGACGTAGTTGGAGACTACTGTTTGTTGGTTCTAAAGACACCAGCTAATGAACTCGCTTTGAGCGTGATGTCACTGCGCAATCCCAAAGAAACATACATTATAGAGGTCAGTGACTTGGAAGAAAACTCTTCTAAATGTTCTACCTATTCTTATATTCTTTCATGGTTTTTTGTTTTTTTTGTTGTTTTTTTTTACTCTAGTAATGTTATATTTCTGCTTTCATTTCTAAGCTCCCCTCCTGGGCTTGCTCTATTGAAACCAAGAAACCGGGCTTGGCAGACCGGCAAGACGTGTTAGAATTCCTGTTATCGTCTCCCGTCCACCCACCCGTCCCATTCTCGCTGGATCCTGAGAAAGGACTCCTGCTGTCAGACCCAGGGACTCAGACCCACTCTGAGAGTCACGACAAGTACGTCACCACACGCTTGAAGGCCTGCAGCCAAGTAAGACTGTCTTTAAAACGAACTCACAGAGTAAACTGTTGCAAGCAGAGAGATGGTTCTGCTCTTGTCGCACCTTGACCAGCGAAAACACCCACCGCTGTTTGGTTCTTTCATCAGGATGGCACTTTAGTGCCGGTGACGCTCCTCCATGCCGTACCTGTGGAGGATCTGAGTCAGGCGCCTTTGCTTGTACATGTATACGGAGCTTATGGTAGAGACCTCAGCATGGAGTTCTGCCCAGTGAGGCGTTTTCTGTTGGAGCAAGGCTGGGCGCTGGCCTACTGTCATATTAGGTAATGCATCATCCTTTTTGTGATTTAAAAAATAAAAATAAAAAACGGATTCGATTTTTCTAGATTATTTGCAACAGGCTTACTAAATGTTGTAAAAAGTACCTTTTATCTTAGATTCCTGTTAGATTGAGCAACAGGTTTCCTTTGTGCACTCCAGATTGTTTTTCTTCTAAACTCTGGCAGGTTTTCCACTTTCCTACTGTGCTGAGCTATCAGGGATCTGAGTTTATGCAGTGTAAGGTAGCCGCTGTGCAACAGACAGAAAGGAATACCTGATCTATCATATTCATCTATCAAAACCTACATCTGAACATAAATATCCTTGGGAAAACTGAGGTAGACTTAAAATACATTTTACATACTTGGAATGTTCAACAACTCTTAAAAAGTAGCATCATCTTCTACACGTGTTATGGACTCCACAGAGTCATGCTGGGAACCAAATGTTGCTGGAAGAACATTAAAATTATTACCATTAAAGACATTAAACTTTTAAATGTTTAGGCTTTGTCGCAATAACAAATGTTGCTGGACGATGAATTGACCAGTAATGTTTTGAAATAAACGATAATATTGTTGTTTTTGAGAACATTTTCAAGTAATTTATTCATAATGGCATAATAATTCATGTCAGCCTCTCAAACACTAATAAAGTTTGATTTTATGGAGAACACTTCACGCTGCAGTGGAAGATACTTTGCATGTCCAAAAAAACAATTTTCTGGCGATCGTCTCTTTTCTAGAGGCGGGGGGGAGCGCGGCCTCTCTTGGCACAGACAAACCCGGGTGGAAGGGAAGCGGAGGGGAGTGGAGGACCTCCAGGCGTGTCTCCAGAAGCTTTTCTCTTCGGGAGTCTCCTCTGCTTCACTCACGGCCCTCACAGCCTGCAGTGCTGGAGCCGTGCCAGTGGCGGCGCTGTGCAACTGGAAGCCAAACATGATGCGTGCTGTGACGCTGCAGGTGAGATGTTAAACGTGTCAGGGTCTGTGTGTTCATCTCAGAGGTTGTCTCTACTGAGGGCTAGGTTTCATCCATATTTAGGGTTAAAATATTTTACATATTGTTATTAATATAAAATATTATTATTATCATTAAGTATCTAAACTGTGCCAGAAATTCAGAAAAACGAAAAACTTTTTACATCGATCTGTAGAAGATTTTTCACCTATGGGGTATTTAGAAACATATAGAATTTGTATTTATGATCAGAGTTCAGGTTTCAGGTTAAATGTTACAAAATGTTACAGATTCTATAATAGAGCTGATCTAAATAGGCTAAACTGGTCTAAAATCAGTAAGGTAGTCCTGTATCATCCTGCTGAAATAAAATACAAATGAACTTAACAAAAAAAAAAAAAACTACAAGAAAAAAATTAGTGAATTTGTGTCTTGATCTGAAGGCATCATTATCTCTGTGCAGGCTCCTTTCCTCGATGTGTTGGGAACCATGGAGAAAGCTGATCTGCCTCTGACTGTGGAGGACAGAGATGAGTGGGGCGACGCAGTGGGAAACCCGAATCACAGACACATCATCGCTTCATACTGTCCCCTTCACAACATCACTCCTCAGGTATGAAGAAGCTGCTTCCTCTAACGTTTCACTCTCTTAAACTAACTTCTGTGTTGTTCATTTTGTTACACGGCGCAGTATAACAAGAAAAAAATTATGTAGAATTCACTTCATACATTTGTGGTTAAATGTATATTCATCTGTCATTTTAGGTATAGATCATCTCAAACTTTAAATTTATGATTTGAAAATCCCTTTTCTTTCAACTCTTAGATATTCTTAATTAATGTTTTTTTTTTCCATTCTTTCTGTGTGAAACAGCGCTACCCATCTATGCTGCTGACAGCCTACAGCGGTGATCCCAGGATTCCTCTGGAAGGAGTCCTCAAATACGCCAAATATATAAAGAAAGCCATTCATACGCACTTAAACAGGAAGCAAAATGCAGGTACTTACAGACGGACTGCGTTTTAATAGTTTTCTATAATTGGAGCGCTACAGCCGCTGACATGTAAAGTGACAGCAGCCGTTTGTTTTGTTTGGTGGTATACTTTATTCATATTTATATCAGAGTGCTTTTCTTGCTGTCAGTCTTCTCCCTTGAAGCACACCTGTGAGGTTGCTTTCAGAGAACCTCTCCCGTTGATGTTTTAATGCGTCTTTTCGTCGTCGGTGCAATTTAAATCCCATGGAGATTTTCCATATTCTTCTAGGAGTCATTTCCTCTTCGACAGAGGTTTTATGGCTCTGGGTCATCCCCCAATAGTAGTGTCAGTGTGAAGGTCAGCGGAGGCAGCGGTAATAGATGTACGGGTGTCTGGGGGATGTCTTTTCACCGTGTAGCATTGGTCACCTTGTGGTAAAACCTGTGCATGTGTCAGCTAATTGCTCTTCCCCCCCCAGACAGGCTCTTTCTCCCTCTCACTTATAATCTTCCTTCAAGACGTTGGTGGTACTCCTTATTTACACCACTCTCTCGCTCTCTATCTCTGCCTCGTCTCCTCCAGCTTCAAATGCACATATTATCTCTCTCCCCCACCATTTTGCACCCCCGTTCTTCACGTACACACCGGGCAGCTTCGGTGCCTGCGCTTGTGGGGAGATGTCTCCCTAATCTGTCTCTCTGTTCTCCTGAGTCTTTGATAAAGTGCTGATGGCACAGGCGCACCGAGGCAGGCGGGAAGGCCCATTAGCATGGTAAAGAGATAGCGTATCAGAGCAAGAGATTAGACTCCGCAGACAGGGGAGCTGTCAAGGTCAAGACCGTACTTGTGAATCAGTCCGTGCCACAGAAAGGAGGAAGGTGGATAACATGGAGTGGGGCAGTTGGACGTAGAGATACTGGGTTCGCAGAGAGATGAAGGCGATTTCTAAAAATAGACCGTTTTCTTTTATCTTGCCTTTTGTTTTCTTTCCTTCAGATTGTGAATCGGCACCAAGCATAGTTCTGAACGTCCAACCAGGAGCAAACCATCTTGGGCCTGAAGACTTTGTTCAGATGCTGGAAGAGGTGAGTCAGAAAGGGAGAGGAACAGGAAGGTTAAGTACAGAAACCATACTTCCTGATATCTAGAAACAAGCTCCTGTGATAGCTCTGGTTGGATGTTTGGCTAATCTTTCAACTTGTGGTTGGTTTCCTGACACTCACCAATTATTGAATGCATTTTCACTTGGGTTAAGATTGAAGCCTGTCCACAAACCTAATGTAAGCCTCCACTGGCCAGCCCAAAACCAGTTATGATGTGTGTTCCAGGTTATTTCATCCAGTTTGAGCAATTCACCAGCACCTGAATGAGGCAAGTAAATGCAGTGATGTTGGATTTGAAAGCCGCGCCTCCTCCAAACGCCGTTGTTGTCTTTGTAGCACAATAGCTCGACCTTTGCCGCAAAACCTTTCTCCTGAAGGCATCTGGCTTGTCCATGACAGCAGCCATACTCGAAGGAGTCTGTTCCACTTTATGATAGCATCACAGCATCATGGGTTTGTGGCAAGAAACCAACCAATTTAAACGAGCTCTACCAATGCCGCCAAAGCCAGATTGAGAAAATTATTGCTTCTTTGAGAAAATCCACATTAAAAACAAAGGAAAAAAAACAAACTTTAAAGACCATTAAAGTCCTTTGATCTTTCTACCCTGGAAAAGAACGACTGAAATGTGTTATTAGAAGTTACACATTAGTACTAGGTTATTTAATTCATGCAAATAATGGTGTAGATCAACTTCTGATCTGCACCGTACGATTTAAGGAAGCTTTTAAAGAGCAATATTTTGAATATATGTGCTTTAAAATTGAACAAACTAACAGGTGTTGTCATTACATTCATGCTGAAAAGCTTTACAAAATCCGTAGCTGTGGAAGAACTGGTTCAGAATCATGGAAATGAAGAGATTTTGCCATATTTTTTTTTAAATGTACCACACCAATGTGTTGGAGTTCAGCAGGCATATGTAATACTGAATATTGATCATAATTTGGCTAAACTTTTACTTTCCATTAAATTCACCAAAAAAAGTGTGTTTTCTGCCTGACGCAGGAGGCTTTTAGGCTTGCGTTTCTATACACGGAGCTGAACCTGGACCCTCCACAACCTCGACGCAAGAGGAAGAGATAGCTCAGCTCTGAAGAGGCAGTAAGGAAAGCAGAGCTGTATTTGCATCACCGTGACGACCAAGTCTTCCACTCTGCATGTGAAAAAGAAAGAAATCACGTCCAGCGAATTCGTCGACAATCGTTTGCTTTATTTTACTCCATTATCCCCTCTGAATCAAGTCACCTCAGGACAACCTCTGTAAGTCGATTTACGAGAGCGTACAGTTTTCATAAATGCTAAATTGCTTTAGCATTTGTAAAGAACGCCAACAGTCTCCAAATAGCAGGCCTTCTCAGAGACGTAGCACTGTGCGGGATGGCTGGGATGGTACCGAGTGTAGGTGGAGTACCGAATGACCAAACCCTCTCCCGCCTCTGTCTGGATGCGGGATTTCTGGAATACTTTCTGGTTGTTGTTTGCGTTGGTGCTCATCAGGACTCGGAGCTCATAGGGCAGCTCCTTAACAGCAGAGAGATCCGTTGTGCTGAATTCTTTGCCGAAGTTAATCACAATGAGGTACGCTTCTTTGTGCCCATCGAGCTCTCTGAGGTAAGAGAAGACGTTGGTGTCGGAGAGGACGTAGCAGAACCAACCGCGCAGAAAAGGGAGCTCCGACTGCCGCAGGCTGTTCAAGAAGCGATACTGAGAGAGAACGGAGCCTTTGTCTTCCTTCTGGACCTGAGGGGAAAGAATGGACGAAAGAAAAACCAGTGAGACGGATATGAGAACTATCTTTTACCAGGGGTTTCTCAGTGTGGCGTTAGATGTCGCATACCTCCACGTTGACGGTTTCGTAACTGGGATGCAGAGGTAACCAGGTCTTGTTGGTTTGGGTGTTGAAACCCGCGTTCTTCTCACTATTCCATTGCATCGGAGATCGCTCAGGGTCCCGACTGAGACTCTGAGGTTAAAGAATACAAATGATTATACTCCAATTGACCTTATACACAGTAACTTCAGCTAACTAACAATAAAGCCTACTTTACTTGAACTGTTCCTTTTTTTTTGTAATGCCTTGAATTAAAATCATATCTTTGTACACGTGTTTTTAGTGTTTGTTCAGGGTACAGATTCTACTGACCACGTTGTATTTCCCAGCAGGGTCTTGAACTTGGCTTTGTGTGATATTAATGTTCTCCATGCCAATCTCTTCGCCGTAGTAAGTCGTCGGCGTGCCAGGGAGGGTCAGTAGCATCAGGTTGATGGCACGAACATACATCCGACCGGCACTGGAGCCAATTCTAGGCCTATCATGATTTCCGACCTGGTTGCAGTGGAGGTAAGAGGTGGAGAGGCGAATGAGACTGAGCTGAGTGGATCACAGAAGACTTTACCTGATAGGTTTTCATAATCGGTTACTGTATTATGCTTTTATGGTATAAAGCACTTTGAATTGCTTTGTTGCTGAAATGTGCGATACAAATAAACTTGACATGTCTTTAAGAACGCTATATATCTGCACTCGGTTCACTCAACATGTACAAATATTAAGAAGACTCATTTGAATACCCGGGTGATAAAATAGATGACCCTTATCCAAACCAGCTGCAGCATTGAAAAGGACTTTGCTGTTTGTGATCATAAATGCTGAAAACGCAACATCATCTTTGTTATCATAAGCACGTGTCTCTTTCTTCTTATCAGAAGAGAATCTGGATCTTATCTTTTTTATATTTATTTGTACAATGTTGAATAAATTGCAACACACTTGAAAGGGCATCATTAGTTTTTTTGCTTTTGTTTTCATTCCAGAAGAATTAAGTAAATACTTACCACCCAGTTGGGCCATTTTCCGCTGGGCATGTTGGACATCCAGAGGTCAACCAGATGTTTAGCCCACCAGCCGCTGGTGTTCAGAGGCAGGTCCAGCAGGTAAAAGTTGAAGGGGAAGTCGCTTTCTTTTACTAGCGGCGTTCCGTAGTACATCATGGTCTTATCCACCTCTTCATAGTCATAGGATTCTGTCACCATGAACCTGCAGAACAATAAAAACCCAGGTTATGTGTGAGATGGTGCACAAACTAAGCTGCCGTTTCTTACCAAACTGTTCTGATACAAAAAAGTGAAATCATTAAGTAAAAATGCCTTCAGTCTTAAACCTGCTGAAAATATGCGCATACTCCACCCATAGTACATTGTTTTAACGTTGAGCATCTTTTATACTTTAGAGGCAGCTACAAAGAAACCAGAAATGATCTTACAATCTAGTTTATCGGCCTAGGCTGGTTCTCTGATGAGATCCAGCTATCAGGGAATGCTGTATTTATAGAACAACTCAGAACTTTAAGATACAGTCAGAAAGTTAATTTATTTCAGTGATTTAAAAAGTGAAATCCTATAGTGATTCATTACACAATGAATCACTGTAGTTTGTGTTTTCAGTTCATTGTGATGTTCATAGTTTGCAGCTGATGAGAAAACATTATTTTTCTTATAAAAAGAATCTTACATAAAACTACCACAAATGTTCTATTACAAATTATTATGCTGCAGCCTCTGCTTGTAATGAATGTCTGTAAAATGAGCTTCCCTTTTTGAATGAAATTACTGAAATAAACTAACCTTAATTATGAGGGAATTTATCAAAATGTGCTTCTACTTTTAATAAAACTGCATGTATTCCTACCTGTATCTGCCAGGTTCTCGGCTGTAATCGTCCATCACTGCTCTGAACTCTCTCAGTATGTCGTGCAAGCCCACCTGGCTGGTGGTGTAGTCATGATACAAGTCCCACTCTGTAGTTACTAATTCCTGAAGTGCAAAAACATTACAGAAAATTTTTAAACGAGACGATAGAGTTAAAAAGCTTTGCATTGCTGAAAGGATTTTCCAGGCTAGATTTTCCGGGGGGCGGGGGGGTTTCTGACTATTGGAAATTAGGGAGGGCTTGTCTCTAAATCAGACTCCTCTCTCCGGCTGGTTTCATATTGGGCTGATGGAATGCAAGCAGAAAACAAATATAAGACTCCGACTTTGACTTAATAAGTCAAGCAGAACCGAAGGAAAGTTTTCCTCTAGCTTTACATGTGAACCTTTTTTTGTTGTTTTTTTTAGAACAACTGCAAGAAAGAAGCTCACTTCTTGTTAATGGCTAATGTGTCTTACTTCTATTTCAGCCGGTACCAAGACCCAGTGTTGCATCTTTGACTGAATCAACCTGCTTCGCTCCTCAGTTTCTGCTTAAAGGCCAGTGACTAACACCTGATGCGCTGGGTTGCGTGGGTAACTCCAAACCACTCGGCTTACATCGTCACCGAACAAATGAGCCATTATGCCAACCACTAACTCACAAACACGGTGGTGTTTTTGCAGTCATTACCAGCCATAAACATTTAAAGCAGTTATAAAAAGCCACAGATAAGTTTATGGCTGCGTTTTCAATTTTACAACAGACCATAAATTACTTTTGTTTGATAGTCCAAAGATGTAAAACTCTGTAAGTGTGATCTAAAATCAAAGTCTGAGTCAGTCCCAGCATTACAGCATTAGTCCACAGTGGTCAGTAAATCCCAGTGACTTGCTAATCCTCTAAAATATGCTTCTTTTCTACTAATCTTTTCTGTCGGGGAGGTGGGGTGGAAAAAAAAAAACTGCCTCCGCGAGGTTTTCTTTACTTATGTCAGAGTGTGTCATTAAGTCTTTGAATTGCAATTACAGTGTTTTCCTAAGAAAAGCGCAGGATGAACCTGACATTTAAGCCAGCGATAAATAATAAATGGCACACGGCGTACAGCGAGAAACATCCCACTCAGCTGTTACGGGCTGTTCCGCCGGCTGCGGTCGGCCGAGGTGTTTCTGCCCACGCCGCTGCTTTCATGCATCTCATTATTCTAATCTGGACTCTGACACGCCACTTTATGAGTCAATGAAATAAAAATCGGGATTATATAACGGAAGGTTAAAGCGGGGATTGTTAACTGAGCTGAACTTTGAGCGGTGGGAGTTACAGCGGCAATTAAAATTTAACACGACGAGCGAGAAAGAAAAAAAAAAAAAAAGCTGAGGATTTGTGAGAATATATCATCACGGGAAAAGAATGAAACCGTTTTTATGCTTCGTGTCGTCGTTCGCTTGTGAAAAGGTGGGAAGCGTTCGGTCTGCTACTCTTGACAGAATCAATTCATTTGATGCGAGCTTGAATTGTACGTTGTCGTGCTTAAATTTCTTCCACATTTTGTCACACTAAACCACAAACTTCTGTGTATTTCATTTGTATTTTATGTACCAAGACATGGCCGTCCACCTGTTTTTCAGAGAGGCTGCTGAGCTCAGCTATGAGTTGCGTACGCCATAATTTTAGCATATAAGTGGTGAAACAAAACAAAAGAACCTACTATTAAAACACAAACCCATTAAAAGTCCAGTTTGAAGTTCATCTCAACACAGCAAATATATGGACAAAAGGGTTCTGGACTGATAAAACCAACAACTTTTTGGGCCATCAGGTCACAAAAGGTGGCTTGATGGACAACCTTGCAGACTCAGCAAAGGTTGAGTCTACAAAGTATCGTCACATCCGTACGTTTTGTGTCGGTCTAAACGACATAAAATCCCAATGAAACTCACTGGGGTTTGTGCTTGTAACGTGATCACATGTGGCGAGGTCTGAAGCCCCCGAGAACGTTTGAACACCCGTATTCGATTAACGGAGGCAACACTCACCGGCGGCATGTCCGGATCCACCTGTGGCTCGTCTCTCAGATGTGCTGCTTCCAGCATGTGTTTGACCGCGTCCATCCGGAAGCCGTCCACCCCCTTCTCCAGCCAGAAACTGATGAGATCCTGAAGGGGAAGGGTAAAAACACTCATTTCATTATGAATTTTAGGCTTTTTCTTTTTACCTTCATCAGGTGAGTTAAGTAGTGATGCCACAAAATGATTACATAGTAAAGTCTTCTTAAGAATCGGTATCTTACGATGATCTCTTGAACGACGTCAGGGTTCCTCAGGTTCAGATCTGGCTGCTCCTTGAGGAACTGGTGCAGGTAGCACTGCCCTCTGACCTCATCATAAGTCCACGAGGAGTTTCCAAAGATGCTCACCTGCATGACAAGTGAAGGTTGTGATCAACACTGGGAAAAAATCTGAAAATGTACCCAACACCGTGCGAAACAGCAGCACAGACACAAACCCAGTTGTTAGGCTTCGGGGAAGCTGGGTCGCAGTCTGTCCAGACGTAGTAATCCTTGTAGTGAGGATCTCTGGTCCGACTCAGGTTGAACCAGCGGTGGCGGTCACTGGTGTGATTGGGAATGAAGTCCATAATCAGCTTCAGACCTGAGGAGGAGAGGTGGGAGGGAAGACACTTTAATCTGTCATCATCATCATCATCATCATCATCTGACACTAAACCAGAGAATCCCACTTCCACTTCTCTGAAAAAAAAACAACAAAAACACACCCTTGTTGTGCATTTCAGCCAAAAGTTCTTCAAAGTCCTGCATGTTTCCAAAGAGCGGGTCGACGTCCCTGAAGTCCTCCACATCGTAGCCGAAGTCTTTCATTGGAGAGCGGTAGAAAGGGCTGATCCACACCGCCTTGATGTTCAGGTCCAGGAAGTGGTCCAGCTTCTCCTTAATTCCTGCATGGGCCGACACAGAAGTACTCAGATTATAAGATGCACATGTAATTGAATTCCTCTTAATGGTAGTTTTATGTAATTGCAAAGAGTCAATAGTTTCTGAGCGGGCCCCGACAGATGCAGCACACTTGAATTATTGTTGATTAAAGTAAATGGTTGCCTAAAATGATTGTGTAACAGAGCAGCATTTTACTGCTCTGCTACACAGCATTCTCATTGCAGTTATAAACAGATAAAAACAATGTTTCAGTCTGAAATCAATCTGATTATAATCGTTAAGCAAGAATTTCCTAAACACAAAACAATCTCTTTTTTTATGAAAAGTTAAAACCTTCTGAAAGTTCAGAATAGTCGTGTTACGCTTTTATTCTTCTCAAACCCCAGTCAGTCATACTGAGCCAGGCTCTGGTTCTGCTGGAGGTTTCTTCTTGTTATTGCTAAATGCATGCTCGATATGAGGGATTTCTGTGAAGCCAATAAGGCAACATTGTTGCGCTTGCTGCAGCCCCATACAGTCTGATGGGTTTCCTTAAAATACTTTTTAAACTACTTTAGATAATTAACTGAGCTTACAGTACTGGGATTATTTGAAAAGTATGTGTGATTGAATTAAAAAGTTTTTTGGTTTTTTTTGTTTTTTTTGCAATGTGCCTCGAGGTGAGCTGTAGTTCCTCTAAACTCCAGAATCACCTCAACTTGCTGCATCACGTCGAAGAAAACTATTCCCACAGCATGATGTTAACACCATCGTGTCTCACTATACAGATAGCTTGAGAACTCCAACTAAACCTTTTATTTATTATTATCTTTTTAAACTTCTGATTCATTTGCACAGAGATAGTCTCCTTTTGTAAATGATGTGACTTTTTTGTCGCACGAGATTATGTTTGGGTACTACTTTTTATATTTTAAAAAGATTGTAAATTATGTCTTTTCTTTTATCAGTAATAACAACAATAAAAAAATACTAAAAACAACCACATCCGACCTTTGAGGTCTCCGACTCCATCCCCGTCAGAGTCCTTGAAGGACCGGGGGTAGACCTGGTAGACCGGGGTGATGTGCCACCAGCGCAGGCACGGCGGGGACAACGCGATGATGGTGATGGTGACCGCCACCAGCGCCAGGGTGCAGCACA